TTGCTGACGAGAAGTATGGGGAAACAGTCAACATCCCCCATACGACTGCTTCACAAAACACACATCACACTTTAAACGTTAAGAATGTCAAAGCCATGCAGCTGATAAGTAACAAAAGCAGGATTTGCTATGACAAAATGACAAAGCCTCCCTGTCCTCCTTGCCGCATCCTAACCATTCTTACCTCCGCCCTAGCACCCAGGACCAATCCGAACTACTAATGCCGGGGGCCGACTTCTCACTGCCTTGAAATGGGCCAAGGCCATTTCTGCCCCTCTGATCTCATAGGGGTTCTGGAAGTGCCTTCCCTCCTGTTTCTGCTTATCCAGTTCTTCTCTGTTCTTCAAAACTAAATCAAGTTCAGCTTCTTCCAGGCAGGCGTCCCCCACTGCCCAAGGTTTTATTTTGTTCTCTCAATGGCTATATCAGTCACAGTGCCCTCAACACAATTTATGACTTAATTTTGTATCACCTTTCCCCTCCCCCTAAATATACTTATGTACTCAACAACATTTTTTGAGGGTGAAAAAATTCCTTTGGAAGTTTGGCTATTAGTCTAGAGGCTGAGGGCCCAGCGATGACAGGGTACAGGAGGGTCTCAGAAAGCCAACCTTTGGTGCAGGAGAACAAGAGGGACAGTACATATCAGCTCTCCAGCAGAAAGGGTCGCTGAGAGAAAACGAGAGAATTCCAAGCATTTAAAGAACAGAGAGGAGGATGGTGGGGCCAGGGCCTCAGCGAGCTGATTAGCACACGATAACAGGACTGCTTGATGCTATCAACAAAGCTGTGTAGTATTTCCAGCATCTTTCAGCCTGCACTAATGCTAAGCACAGGGGTGGCATTTCGATGCTGCCAGAGCATTGATGGATGCATATTAAGGCTGCATCATACAGCTGCACCAAAGAGCGTGCAATGATCTGTCTAACTGGGGATGAAGATAACTAATCTAAACAACTGGACTCAAAAGAATGATAATAACTCCCTGGGTACACTGATAAAATGAAATAATTATTAAACATCTTCTCCTCAGGCTGTTATATAAATAGCAGAAGAACCATGACAGAAACATTCTGATAATAAACTGCCCACAAAATTATGGTTAGATGGCTGCCAGTTACATACCTCTGGTAGGAAAGTGACAACAAACCAATTCGATCAACTCTCACGAGCAGAATACTTCTGAAACAACTGCTGTGGCTAAGAATTCTACAGCCTTAGCCAGCCTTAAAACAGGCCATTGTAGACATTTGGAACCATCCAAACTCTTAAGGGGCTTTCTGGTTGACATTGGACTCGCTTAGCAATCTATATGTATAACCACGTAAGAGGGAATGACTGACCCGTCATAAACCATTTCCTCAAATGCAGGCTTGCTCCGTGTGCTGCCTGGCTGGGAGTGCGTTCAAAGAAAACCAGAGGAACAGAAGTCTGACGGCAGAGAGAAACACAGAGAGAACAAAGGCTCCCTGCCTTATAGAAAATGCAACCCTTTAAAATGGACTATTTAATCCAGATGTTTCTCTCTAGTTTAGATTCTAACAATGCAGGAAAAAACATGCTGAGTTTTCACTGAATGGAAAACATAAGAAGTCCTGCTCCTCTATAACTCTCGGAAGGGAAAAGTCACATCCCTCCATTGAGAGAGCGATCTTACTACAGCATTAAAATGGAGGGAGCTCTCGTGTGATCTAAACGATTCCCATGACCCCATCTAGACTGACAGCCGAATTCCTCCCAGAAGCCTCCTCTGATTGAACTCAATTATTCGACATTCCCTGGCCACACAGATGTTCCATGTGTGTTCCATTGGCTTTGCAGTTGTCCTCAAATGGTTGATCTTCCTACTTAGACTATTAACTTCTCAAGGGCAAGAAAGTTTGATTTCGTTCTACAGCCAGCATTGCTAATTCCTAGGAGAGTACAGTGTTCTGCACATAGATGTGTTTAAGTTTACGGTTAGAGATCCCCGGTTAAGGAAATCTAACCTGAATTATCTAGGGCCAGGCCGACCTAGGGGCTGATTTCTTCTGGCCGTTGACCATTTTACTGCATCTTCGTTTCAACACAGAGTGGACATTCAGAATCAAATTTACTCAAGTACCCTACTAAATACCAATGTGTCACATTAACCAATTCCACCAGACAAAAGCCAAGGAAGGTAGTTGTCCAGATAGCTCGGGGGAGGGAGAAACAATGATCTGCGTTGACTTGAATTACTGAGGGAGTAAGACAGGGCTCATAATGGAGATTTCAGGTTCGGGAGCTTTATTCACAATGTGCTAATGCTTCCTCTGAAAGTGGATTTGCCATGTTCTTACAGAAAAATATTCAGGGAAAGCCATTTCACCTTCAACACGGTAATATTCCCCTACTCTGTGATAATTACAGTACAGAGTGCTTTCCACCTGGAACTCCAGATAAGCGAAATGAAGTGGCCACAGAAACGCAGCCAGCACAGTACCAAAGTCAAGCTTAAGCCTCACTCTCCAGGCTGAAGTTCAGCATCCTTCCCACCATCTCTCTGTTTTTTTGGAGGGTTTTTTTTTTTTTGGCTGAAAAGCTTAAGTATAACTATTGAATTGTATGATCCTGGGACATTTCAGAAGTTGCATACTAGAAGCACCTGGAGCACAGGGACAACATCTATTTAATGCATTTCATTGACCTTGGGTTCAGTGCTCAAATTTGCAGCCCGGTCAACAGCATATTGATACTGATGTCGAAGTTCGCAACTGAAAGAAATTTAAGTACCTCTGCATTCTGGTTTCTTTTTTTCAGCCTGACATCTCTCAATCTGATGCATTCCCTTTCTAAAACCAAAGTCCTACCACCAGCTAACAAAAAAAAAATCAAAATAACAATGAAATTTGGGGAGGACAACAAATCCCCAAGCGAGCCAGCTAGACTCACCCACAGGGACAGGTTTGGGGAATGACTTCCCAAAGCCAAGGGCAGATCCCTCAAAGAGATGGTGCAGTAACTGCCTGTTCACGATGTTTTCTGCTCCTTGGTGTTTCCCAGTCTGCACTCACTATCTTGCTCTCCTCTGAACACAAAGCAATTTTTAGTAAAGAACAGCAGAGAGAACAGCGTGCACTCGAATGAGCTGTCCTTCGTAAACAAAAGGCTACTCATCAAGCAGACTGAGCTGTAAGTGATTTTTTTCCGACATAACTATACCTCCCTGGATGGAATAGGGATGTGCTCCTGGGGGATGGGGGGGGGGGCAGGGCGTGTGGAAAGTCAGCCAGATATGTGTAAGGAGAATCATATTTGCCTGTGTTCATAGGTGCCCATTTCAGAGCTACCTTATCATCATTCTGACTTAGCAATACGACTCCTACACCTGATAAGCAGTTCAGTAGTAAAAGTGTAAATGAACTAAACTGGCTCCACGTTAAAGAAAATCTGTGACAAATCCTCCCTATGATTTTTTTTAATGTGGATAATTGTCCTTAACCTTCTGTAAAGTTCGGGGGGTGCACACACAGTGGGTGGCATAGGGCCACAGGGCAGGTGCGTGTGGGATGTGGCCTTGGCATTGCTCTGGGTTTCCATGCAGGGCTCTCTGGCTGTGCTCCATGGAGAAGCCTGCTCTTGCCCTCCTTAGCATAAGGCAACAACTAACCTGTGTCCCTGTTACATGAGTCAAAATGATTTGTTCTTGGTGCCTCCCTCTCTCTGCCCGTCACAAGAATAGAAATTTAATTCAGGATAATAAATGTTACCTGTAAGAGATAAACTTTTCAATAAGTTATTACCTGGGCACCTTCTCTTAAAATATTCCATATGTGTGGTCTCGGACAACCAAAGAGAAAAAACAAACTCGGCCAATTAACTGAGCAGATTTCCATACCTGCTCCCCCGTACATGAACATCAAAATAAACTTTAAAATAAACAACCAAATAAGGCTTGGATCTTAAAATGCACCTTCCACCAAGGTCGGGGTTAACCCAAGTGCCAGGCCCAAGGTCACAGAGTCATTGACAGGGCATCTGCCCGGCCTGGGAGACACTGCAGCACCAGCCCCCTGCTGACATTGGCTGTTTGGGGTAGGATGTGGCATCCGACTGACTCTCAGTTGGAGGAGATACAAGTTCTTTATCCTAACGGGCACTAAAATAGGTCAGCAGATACCACTCAAAACAGATCCAGACTCTTCCATCTGGGAGGCACGGGGTGAAAGGGAAGGGGTGAATTTGGGGACCAGTCACTGGATACAAAGCCCGAGGGACTGGGGGACTCCCGAAGACCTCACCTGCCAACCAACGACGCGAAGTCGTGTAAAAAGAAGTTTCAGTATGTTTTTCTTTTTTTAATTCAAAATACGGGAACAGATCGCTACTAATATTAAGACTCTGTCACACATCCAAAACGTCCTTTATACCGCAGCCTCTCAGAAAAATCCTACAAACAGCCCAGCGATCTTCAGCGTCAAGACCGACTGGGATGAATTTTTAGAGCCCTGTTTGCACTTCTCAACCGCACTCGCATCCCCCCAGCAGCACTACCAAAAAAGTCCTGAATTGTTCTGCTACACTTTTCCAGGGTGCAGCGTCTGGGTTCTGAGGGGCTGGGGGCAAGGCCTGGCGATGGGAGGGTGAGTGTCAGGACGAGTGTGGGAGCGCAAAGCACGGACGCGGACCGCCACTAGGAACCTTCTCCCCCTGGAGAATGCCTAGCCTACCCGCCGCAGGAAAGCCCTGCCGCCAGTCCTCCGCAGGATCGCCCTGCAGGCTCTCCTCGTCCATGCGTGACCGCCCCCGCGCGGGGGAAATGCCTCGCTTTCCGTGGTTCCAAAAGTGGATGATCTGTTCCTGTCCCGAAGATGGGGGCCGGTAGAGGGGTCTGCACGCCGTCCTTCCCCGGCTCTCTGCACCCCTCCTTCCCGCTACCTTTGTCCTGGGCTCTCTCGCAGAGATGGCCCGCCCTGCTCACTCCCCACAACACCCCCAGTCTCGCCGTCCCCACGCCCCGGGCTTCCCGCTGCGCTCACCTCTGCTCGCGCCCGCGCTGGTGGCAGTAGAGTTCCCGCAGCCCATCGCACCGCCGGCTGGAGAAGCGGCGCTGGAAGCGGGCGGCAGCAGGTCCTGGGGGCGGAGACGGAGGCGGAGGGCGGTGCGTCCCGAGCGGGAGGCCGGAGCGGCGCGCGCGGTGGCGAGGGGCGCGCGTGGGCCGCCCTCTCCTGCCGCCCACGGGCGCCGGCCAGGGCGCGGCGGAAACCACCGAGCACCCTAGCCCTCTCTCTGCTCGGGGACCCACCCGGCTCACCCGTCACCTCGGCAACCGCGGCGCCTGCCAATCCGCAGCCTCCTACGGGCTCCCTGGCCAGGCATTGGTAATCATTAAGAGGGGGCGGGAGTTTGAAGGGTTAGGGGCAAGGGCCAGGCTGAGAGGTGTGACTCGCGCGGGCGCGGGGCTGTGTCAAAGGAGCCCAGGTTGCTCATCTGCTCACCCTGCACAGCCTCTTTGCCTTCTCTTCTTCTTCCCCACTTTCCCTCCTCCTCCAGGATGTGGGGAGCAGAGGAAGTGGCAGGGAACACCTGTTTTGCGTACAGTGGGAGCGCAATAGATGTTATTGACTAAATAATGTTCAGATCTGAAGCTACACTGAAATTCATTTCTGCTTTAACAAAAAGCTAATGCATCTCTTTGTCCCCCTGTTCACACTGGCTAATAAAGTATATAAATATTCCCCACATTGGTCATATTAACTCATTCCACTTTAAAATAAATGCCGCAATTTTGATAATCTGGGTACAGGACCTCCGCTCTGAGTTAATGGCCGAACTGTGAATTTACAGGGCACCTTTCGACCTAATGGTTGGGCAAGTGTTGCTGGAGTCAGATTGTCCTGAGTTAAAATCCCCGCTCCGCCCCTTCTGACCTCAGCACAGTCACTTAACCCCTTAGTATATGGGTTGTTCTACCTGGAAAATGGCAATAATAACTCAGCTGCCCATGTAAAGACCTAACACGGTGCCTCACCCTAAATAAATGCCAGGCATTCTTTTTCTTAAATCTACTAGAAGTGAATACTAATTCCCTGAAAGCAAGGACTAGCTGATTTATCATAATGTCCTGGCTCATAATACAGACTCAGTAAATGTTTTGTGAGACGAATTCAAGGCAGAAGTTAAATCTCCATTTTAAATCCATCTAATATTTATAGAGAGCCTAGCCTGTGCCAAGTTTTTTTGTGACAATTAAGTCCCAAGGATACAAGTATGTGGGGACCAGTCAACTAATTACACTATAGCAGGGTGTTTCCAGAGGAATACGGGGTGTTACAGGCACCCAGAGGGTGTAGGGATGGATACTGGTTAAAAGACTCCTAAAAACTCTATAGTTGTGTTTAGAGAAAACTTCGAAGCAGAAGCAAGGCTCTAGTGACCTAGAGCCTTGACCTTGACCATGACCTTGAAGGCAATGGTGAGGACTGAGTAATCCTATCACTCAAGATTCAGAAGGTATCCCAGGGAGGTTAGTGGGTGGAAGCGTTGAGCAAAAAGGGAAAAGGACTCATGGACATGGACAGCACAGTGTGGTGATTGCCGTGGAGGGAGGGGGTTTAAAGGGGGGCTAAATGGTAATGAAAAAAGATACACTAAAAAAAGTGAGAAAATAAAGGCCATCCATGATTCGAAAATTAGGTATGCCTGGGCATGTGCTGTGATGATAATTAATTCTCTGGGAAATAAGGATGTCTGAGTTGTCTGGCTTCTGGGAACACTGTTTCTCTACCACTATCTTGGATCAGTGGCTACCCCCATGCAAATCCAGAATTAGCGGGAGGAGTGGGGGACTATCAGCAGGCCACCGGAAATACTCTGGCTGGTTTCTGCACTTTCTGACGCAGGACTCCAGCCCTAGGACACTTACAGGAAAGAAAAACCAGACCCTGACATCCAGGAACGGGCGCGACCCAGCGAGGCCTTCATGTTCTCCCCTTACACACAGTTGCACAGACACCAGCATCAGGCAAGGCCGCTCGATAATCTTGGCTAAGTGTGACAAAAACAAAGTCACTGGTGAACCACAGAAACCCCGAATGTCGACCAGTCTGGGCTCACGTGAATGACACTGCAACACCTGCTTAGCGGTCACAGTTTCAGCCTCATTCAAGCCTTCCTGCCTCACAGACGAGATTTATTAAGAATATTCTAGCACCAAATTGCCCTTGCTTCCTGACAACGTCCAATCCAGGGAGAAAAGAAAAGGGGGGGGGGTGTCCTGCTTTTTTAAACCTTAATCGAAATCAGCTGACTCAAACCCAAACCTGTAAGTTCCTTTCTAGCACCCCGTTACTGAGCTACCTGGTGGTCCCTGACAGTGTGCATTGACTTTTACTGCAATGAGGAATAAACCCAACTTGCTCAACTACCAGTGTGTTCTTGGTGGTCTCTGGCTGGAGGACGTTGATCCTTGTAAATAACATGTACTCTGCCATATAATATTAATAGAGTGTGTTATCTCTCCATTTTTTCCACAAACACTGTCGAACATCTCCTTTGTGCGAGCCACTTCTCCAAATGCTCGAGATACAGCAGTGAAAAAGCCACAGAGGGAAAAGTCTAATGGGAGCTGACAGATCAAAGTCAAACAAAAGATAATTCCAGATGCTATAAGCTCAATGGGAAAGAAAATAAGGTAGGGCACTAGAATAGGTGACTAGGGGTAGAGGGAGAGATGCTATTCTAGGCAGAATAGTCGAGAAAGGCTTCTGAGAGAACAGGGTGGTTTAGCTGAGTTCTGACTGACAGGAGCAAATCAGATGGGAAGACCAAGGAAGGAGCATTTCGGGTAGAGGCCAATGGCAAGTGCAAGAGCCCTGAAACAGAACGTGCTGGATGTGTTTCATAAACAGAAAAAGGTCAGGATGGCTGGGCTACAGTGGCAATGGAGGGGGATGGATGGACACGTTAGGCCGGCTCACACTGGGTGTGATGGGCTTTGTCAGGAGTTAACACCTTGCAACAGGGCGACGCAGAGTCACTTGATGAGGCAGCAGCCGATAAGCTCCTAATAAAGTGTCAGGCATATAATAAGCGCCCCATAAATGGCAGTTTCTCTCCCCGATATGAAGTGAAAGAGTAATCCAGTGTTTCTTTTTTCCTTTTTAGGACTTTATTTTACTTTATAGACAACAGTTGCTTGCATTTGGGTGCTTGCAAAAAATAGTGATTCAAAAGAAAATCATGAATGCCTGCCTCATTTCCTGACTGGTCGATTTTAGCTTTTTTGTCTGTGCCCCTTGAATCCGACTGCTAGCTGTTGTTTTCATTCTTCAAACGAGAGCTGATGTGGTGTGAAAGAGAGGGGTGTGTGACTGAAATTGGTCTCATAAGAAAAAGAAAGCAAGAGGAAAGAGAACATGGACTTAACTAAGTCTCAATGTTCATTTTTCTTCCATAAAAGTCTCCTTGCAGAAGTTTACCAGCCTGAGTTTTCTTTTTGCTTTTCTTTTATTCCCCATTGACACGCGACAAGATGACTTCCTCAGCTCTGAGTAACGCATCCACACATCCACACACAACAATCTCAGCAACAGAAAAGGGCCTTCACCCTTCCCGTCCCTTTTTAAAGCCAGGACACTTCCTCTCCCATCTCATTGGCCAGAATTGGGTCATACTCCTCCTCCTGATCCAACCACTGAGAAGGTAAACAGGATGGTTGTAATTGGCTCTGGTAAGTTACAATTTACCCCTCAGTCAGGATAGGGAGTAGAAGATAGACACCTGAACAAAACCGGGGCTTTGCTGGCCCCCCTAAAAAAGAGGGCTGGGAATAATTAATATCTATTTCAGTAGTTTAATAGATATACAAATGTGCCCCAATATCTAGTTGTGTTCTGGATTAGCCTTTTTACCCCCCTCAAAGATGGGCATGGACCAATGACTAGTTTTGGCCAACAAAATGTGAGTAAGAGTGAAATACGACTTAGAGGTTCTGCGAGTTCTGGTCTGCTGGGAGTCAGGAGTCAGGAATGCAACAGATGTATTACGGGTGATGCTTGAAAGGCAGAGGAGAAAGCGATCAGAAGCAGGCTGGGGAAGCCTTCAGGCCGCATGGTGGATCTGACACCCACGGGGCAAGTGAGATGAGAGTTACATAAGGAGACTGGGGAGGAAGAAGTTCTGACCTCGGTGCAGCTCGGAGGAAGCCTGGGCCAAGGCCAGCAGGAACTTCAAATGCAGATTGCCTGTAAGGGTAAGGGCAGCTCCAGGTTGTGGTGAGATGGCCAGGCCCTAGGAACCACACTGGGCTGCCCTGACCAGAGAGATCTTGACCTGGAGTAGAACACAGCAGCATATCCTGAAAGTTCTAATAGCTGGGAGCCATCTGCCAACTTCACAGCTCATAGCAGGTTCTCTCTTAAATGGAGATCTGAGCAGCATGTCTCCAAGCCTGCTGCACAAGGAGGAGCTCTTGGTCTCAAATGCCAGATTAGCCAGCTGCAAGGACGGTAGAAACACAGGCGGAGGAGTTGCATCCTCCAGCAGCCTGGATTCCTAAGTCACTACATCAGGCGGGTCCCCACCCACAGCCACACTGGTCCTGCAACAGGAGCAAGAGGAAACTTCTGTTGTGTTTAAGCCACTGGGATGTTAAGATTGTGTCATCATAACATGCCGTATCGTATCAAATCAGAGCATAGCCTTTCATACCCTGTCATAACAGAAATACAGCAGCTACCTGTACCTGCCATAGGATACGTGTTCAAATGCGCTGGCATAAACCTGGCCACGGTATTTTCTTGTGGGGATTTTAATCTCATATCTGTGGCCGTGGCCCCTTTTGCCCTCCCAGAGGGTTTATTTGCACTTTTTCTTTATCTCTTTATTTGACTTGTGATAGATTTGTCCATTTTATCAGAGTTTGCTGAACCCGCTGTTATTTATTTTACTATTTCTTGTTTTGTTTTCAATTCATTTATTTCCAGTCCTCATCTTTATTATTTTATTCTTTCTAATTTCTTTGAGTTTACTGTGTAATAACTTCTTGAGTAAAACATCAAACTCATTTACATCTTTCTTTCTTCTAAATACTGCCTGTGCTACCTCCCAAAAGTTTTGATATTTTGTGTTTTCACCGTTATTCAATTATAAGTACTTTATAACCTCCATTACCTATTAATCCAGGAGTCAGTGAGAACTGTTTTGTTTCCAAATGCATTTCTTTTAAAAAGGTATTAACATTTTTACAATTGATTTTAATTTGTCTTGG